TGACCATGATGATAAGGAAATAAACAAAAACAAAAATATTTCAATGAAGATCAAGACTAGAAAGAATTGCTTCTCCTACCAAAACAGTATTAAAAATGTGCATTGGTGAGATAGTTTATCTGGTGTGACTGAGGAACAAAAACCCCCCTAGTGGAGTTGGCAAATAGGACACATAGTAGAAAAGTAATGGGGAATTAAGCTAGAAAGGTGGGGCTGTCACAATATTGTGAAAGAAACTGCATCCCATGGTAAGCACTTTGGAATCAATTCTGTATGCAAATGAATATTTAAAAACAACGGCATGACCACCAATTGTTGTAATCAGTTGAAATGGCTCGCTTGTAATTTGTTAACTATAACAATTCTACCACTCATATTTGTAAATAATACAGTTTCAAAAATTCGATCAAGATTTTTCCCTCTAAAAATATCATACTCAGTAACTGGCTTTCCAATATTTTTTTTTAAAAATATTTTATTTTTAAGAATTTACACCCAACATGGGGCTTGAACTCAAAACCCCAAGACCAAAAGTTGCATGCTCTACCGCCTGAGCCAGCCAGGTGGCCCTCCAATATTCTTTCTTGAATATGAGGATTAGATGTGCAATCACAATTGGTTAAGGGGTAGAATTTCAATAATCCTTGAAATAATCACAGGAAAGTGTGAAAAAAGTGAATTATGAAACATATATATTATGGCAGAAAAAATACATATGTTTATAAACACATACGGAGAAAGAAGAATCATTGATATGAACAATGGGGGGGCAAGTTCAAAATAAGGGGGAAAATTTTAGGAAAGGATAAACACATGGAATGGAAAACAATAAAAGATAACACAGAAAAATAAAGGTAGAATCTCAACATGTATACAAGACATTCTAGAAAAATATAGAGAAAAAAAACAGCTTGTATAAATTACTTAAAGACGTATGACCCATTATTTTGCAGAAATCACACACACACACACACACACACACACACACACACAAATACAAACTCGGATTGAAAAAACCCCAAGGGTGCCAAAGAAGTTATAAATAAATAATTTTGGATATTTACAGGAACATTGAATAATAGCAAAGACAAGGGAGGCATTCCAAAATTTTCTAACAAGAAATGGCAGATCATGTAACAAGGAAAAGCATCACAGCAATATTCAAAAGGAGGCAGTAAGTAGGGGGCAGCGAGTGCTTCATCTCCTGGTCTGGAGCCGCCTGCTTTGAATCCAGGGTCTGTCAAAAACTAGCTCTAACATTAAACAGGATATTCAGCTTCTCCATAGCTCAGTTTCCTCATTTATACGATACACATCATAATAATCTCCATGTCCTAAGATTGTTGGGAGCACTAAATACGATACTATATGTAAAGCCCATGAAAACACAGACAAACACAGACATTATATGGCTATAAACTATTATTGTTTTCAGATTTCTTGGTAGAAGTAGTTGATGGAGGAATGCAAGGAAATAACATTTTTTAAGTGCTCAAGAAAGTATGAGAATTTTATATCCACCTGAACAATTATTTAATTCTAAGGGTGAACAAATAGAAAAAATGTAATAAATATAAGGAAGGAATAAAGAGTAATATACCAATGTATTAATAGCATACAATTAAAGGTTAATTCATAATCATTAGTCATTCTTTATCCAAAATTTATTCAGAGTATCACGTGCCAAGTATTATTTTAATTTTTTTTACCTATATTAACTAATTTTAATATTCACATAAACCCCATGTGGTGAAGAGAGGTTCACCAAAGGTCACTCAGGGTAGGTCTGATAGGCAATCAAGAGTATCTCCATACTAAGCCTTCTTTGTAAGGTCTGTAAATGTGAGACAGATCTTAAATACAAACCATCTGTTCCTTGTTCCCTTTCTGAGTCTTTCCTCCATGAAAGCTTGTTTACAGACGTTATCTCTAAGAAATGGTCCTTGAGTGTGGTTTCAGGGAGGCAGAAACCTTTCTTTCTAAGGAGTTTGGATTTTAGTTACCTGTCCTGTTGTGTTCTCTTCCACATAAAAAGCCAATTTGTGGTTGAGTCCAATTATGGATGAAACCAAGTATCTCATAACAAACGACTGGCACTAGCCAGTTGGCACTCATATGCAAATGTGTGCAAAACACAGAGCTCTGTTGTTTTTTCTGGATAAATCATGCACACATTTCTCCCAGTTTTTGAGTCATAGCAAGGAATGACTAAGGGCAGAGAAAGCAATATTAGAGACCTTGACTTTTCACTGGTTAAGAAGTCACAGTCGTTGGTTACCTATCCAGCACCTTAAGCCTACAATCATTAAGGAAAATTGCTAAGAGGGAAAAGAAAACAAGCATACAGATTCCAGCATGGTCCCAGTCATCTAAATCGAGTTCTGTAGGTCTCTGCTGGAGGCTGGCCATGTCCTGTGGTTGCCATCTTGCTGTGTTGGCACAAAGCTCTGTAGTGGAAGTTCTATCCACCAACAGACCAACTGCTTCTAAAGAATTCTTAAAAATTTCTAATTTCAAATTTCCTAAAGGAAAATTAATCCTGTTGTCAGTGGGTTGTGTTTTTTGTTTGTTTGTTTGTTTTAGTTGGGATATAAGAATCTAAATATTGACTTTCTTGAGTTTAAGCGCTGATCTAGTGTCAAAAATTACTAGAGAGTTCCTATCCATTGTGGGTCCTTGGCATTTTTTATGGTGTCTTTTCCAGCTGACAGTCTGAGGTTTTTAGGTCACACAGAGGCCACTTGGGAGAAGATGAAGGAAATGCAACTCATCCCTGTTAATACTAAGACTGATTAGACTGCCTGAGTCTCTTAAAGTGTTTTGTCACATCTGTCCAAAGTAGAGTCCAGAATTGGGGTAGAAATATGCACCCTGAAAGGGAGACCTCTTATGGGTTCTTAGGGTAAGAATCAATGAGTGCTCATTTGAGTTTAAAAATGCTACTCACCTTCTCTGTTTTTCATGAGGTTTGAGAATATCATGAACAATGCAATTTCATAGTAAACATCAAGGCTTCATAAAGTTCTCTAGCGACTATCCCAGTACACTAAGTGCCTCTGTTACTGGAGAAATAGGTTGGAATTCTCCAGATCGAAAACACAAGGTCAAATAATATTTTTGCTACTATACGAACTACACCTTTCCAGCAAACAAAAGTTTCATTTCACCTTGAAAATTAGCAAATAATAACTGGGACACTCAAACTCCATCACAAGGTGTAATTGTATGAATCCATCTGTACGTATTCAAAGGTACCCTAAAATTTGGGTTCTTCCACATTCTATCTTTATAGTTACACCAGGATTAATCTGATACAGATGAGACATGCAACCAGACATGCTCAGCAACTGTAATAAAATTTTCTCACCAATGCTCATAAAAGTGTAGTGATCAATTTGTTTTCCTTTGGAGTGAAAGTAATTTCTTGTTAAATGTATGCAAGTTTCCATTTGAAGGCTTTTGGTGATGCCAAGCAGCCAAGGTGATAAAGATGACCCCCATGTTTATTTTCCCCCAAAAAATTCTTCATACTCTAAAACAGCTGTTGTGCCACAAAAAAAATATTCCTCAGTAAGAGTCATTGGGAGCTCAAGGGCAAATGAGAAGTTGAGTGTTTGACCATCCTTTGTGGCAGCTTCACTGATTTGCTATTTCCTTTCTTCCCTTTAGTTTTACTCACAAGGGTTTAGAAGTCTAGCAACAGGACTATTTTCCATTCCAGTTTCTGCTTGCATACTAAATCCCCTATTTCTGACTTAAGGCCATTCAGTGAGGAATGAGCCGTGGTCATAGCTGCTCCAAGAGCTACACCTAAATGTTTTCCAGAGAGGTTAAAGAGCATATTCCCAAAGTCTCCAATGTATTCATCTATTTATTTGTTTGTGGGCATGGTCTCCAAAATTTTTGTCTGATATTTATAGTTTTTCTAAGTTCCTCTAGTTTTATTATGGGATTTGGGGTCTATTCAATCAGAATATTCACAGTATCTTTCAGTACCCACTGAATCTTATTACATATGAGGTTCCTAATAACATATAAATCAAATGATAGAGGTCTGGGAACCCTGAATTAAATGTTCTAAGGACCACTGCAAATTGCTCTGTAAATTTCCGCCTACCCTGCATAGGCTTTGGAAAGCCTTTGAAAATCGCTCTCAGCTCAAACCACAATCAGGGCTTAAGTTCAACCATAAGGGGCCTGTTCTGATCTGCTTAACTTTTAAGAGACAACTGAGCTTTCAGAGTGGCTGGCTGGCCAGCTGGAAAAGAGAGCTGGTCAGAGTGTTGGAGGCAGGGGATAATGGAAGGATATAGGATAGAAGAAGAGTAAGATCAAAACTTTTAGGTTCAAGCTGTGGTTTGAGCAGATCTAAAAGAGAGATAGCCTTTCACATTTTTTCATTTGTTTCCTTCACAGAATTTAGAGAGGCAACTGGGGAATCTGGATTTCTCTAGCAAGCTTTTGCATACCAATAAAATATTACAAGTCATTAAATGTTTGCAGTTTTACTCCCTTCCCATTCTACGTTAAACTAGTGTTGGTGAAATTATGCCATTTAGGAGGTGACTCACAAGCACTGGTTACAGTGTAAATATATGCGAGAGGCCTTCAGGAGACAAACACTTGAGGTTAGGCTTGAGACAAATGTGACAGTCAGGCAATGGTCAGTCACGTCAGTGCTTTGTTGGCCTTATTATGCCCTGGGCACCCCAACCTAATGACTTAGGCAGCCTCCAATGGCCAACCTGGAAGATCTTGGAAGACATATCATTGGAACACGAACTTCCCGCTAACCATTAGCGACAGAAGATACTGAAAAGAGTAGCTACAAACAAGCCATGTTGCTAGGAATGAGGCAGCTTTCTTCCGGGGGTACACAGCTACAAATCTGATCAAATAAGCCAAGAATTCCTGAAAGGCAATCTTCCAGGACCAAATACACTCAGCATTTGATAGCGTGATGAAGAGAAACTGGGACTGAGATCTCACGCGAGACTTACCTCATCATTGCAGGCCACGGTGGCTCCCCATTTCTGAATTGAGGGTCTCAGGCTTTGGCACAAAGGGGATCTTCAATAAGGTCTCGGTGGGACTTCCAGGTTATTGAACTCCCCCAAATATCACCAGATAACCCTTCAATAAACAAAAGTTACACTTAGTAGAACTTATGGCAATACGGGGGAACACCACTGTGACAGTTTTAGCAACGTCTCAGAAGGGGTAAGTCAGAAGTAGAATAATTGTAGGACTCTGGGGGCTAGACTCAAGTAGATTAAGGTGGGCCTTTCAAAGTGGAGAACTGGATAGGACTGGACAAAATTTGTGATGTCCCGTTTAGGATTGTTTGACACATGTAGGTGAGGGTCTTGCCCATGCTGTTATTGATAAAAAGGCATTTTGCCAGAGTGAGGTTATTGTCTTGAATATATTGATTTGTTGGCATTTCCTGAAGCAAACAGTGGATTTAATTACTGGTTTGCAATATCTTTCCTAGGCTAAAGTTCCCTAGAAAAAAAATAACCAAATCACTTTGATATAAGTGGGTTTATGGTTTCCTACAACTCATGTTCACAGATGGTCTCAATTCTCAAAGACTCTGATTTTGATACCAATAAAGTAGAATTTAGAATAAAAACATCAGATGTCACAAAAAATGGGCATATACCACTAAAGGAAAAATTCGATCAAGAAAAAATTATGAACATCTCAGTTTAAAATTCATTCAAGACAAATATTACAATAAGCTCAAACTTAACATCCAACAAAAAGAGCACACATAGAATTGGCTCCAAAACTCAACCATGTACAAAGTCACCAAGAAAGCCTCAGTGCAGCTGTAAACTCAACATCATCTAGAGTACAACTAAGTATAATAAGATTAAAAGCTACTAGAAAAAAATTTCATACATCTTCCTCCAACCAAAAAAAAAAAAATGAGTAACTTCTCAACGAAAAAAGTCCCAAAAAATAAGATAAATTTACAAATGCTCACCAAAAAAAGCACAAGAGCCAAAAGAGGCAGATAAAGGTAAAGCAGAGAAATTCTCCTCTTTTACAGTGAAGACACTCCAACAAAGAATGCAGGATGGTCTTCTGAGATCGCTTTTTTTTTTCTCTCAACTATTCTTTTTGCCAGCATTTCCTTGACTTAAAATAATAAGTGGTAAAAACAATACCATTTTTGAGAGGGGGAAAAAAAGGCCTGTATGTGCTTATAGCTGTATTTCAAATAAAATAAATCAGTTAACACCATACAGTTTGATACATTTTGATTCTGTTGATTTGCAGTCTCCACTCTATGCCAAGCCCTAGGAGTATGGCAAATGCCTGAGACTCTCAATGGGGTTGTGTATTGGGGTCTGAAGTGCACATCTGACCCCCGGCCACTTAAACCAGAATCTTGATGGTGCACTCAAGCATGTGTTCTTGAAATCCCCTCTCCGTATCCGAAGTGCAAAGTTGAGAAGCACTATAGAAAGGAATGGTTAAAAAAGCAGCTCCATCTTCTTCAGTCCTACTAGTCTGGTCTTAGCTCTTCCCCTTCCACAGCTTTATCAGTATCTGAAGACAAATGTGGCAAACTGATGAAATATGAGCAGAAGGACAGCGAGAAGCATAATAGACTCGGAGCACCAGCATCCCAAAAACATCTCAACATGCTGTGATCTAGGGCCGACTCACTGGGTGGACAGAACTTAATAAAGATAAATAACAGAGCTCAGATCTTGGAAGCCCTAAGCCAACTTCACAAATGCTGGGTAATGTACATGTGACTGAACTGCAGTGCACATGAAAAATTCTTGAGGAATTTAGTTGATTTTAAGCGTCGTGTGAGTCAACACTCACTTGGCTGCCAGAAAATAAACTCCATCCGAGGCTGCATCAATAAATGCACAGTCTGGACGAGGACGACCCTTTCTATGTGCTTGTAGAACCCTTTCAGGACTGCGTCTTGTTCCCAGCAGCATGCTAGAGGAAGAACGTGGAAAATCAGACTAGGGTTGATGAGGGAACTTGGAGCTGTCCTTTCCATTAAAAAAAAAAAAAAAAGGATATTTAGCCGGCAGGAAAGCTGACAGATGTTTTCAAAATATTCGGAGCACTCACATGTGGAAGTTAGATCAGATTTATTGTGTAAAGTCCAGAAGTCGAGAGCAATGGATACGTGGAAGGAAATGCTTTTCGGCGATGTTGATTTTCAAAAAAAAAAAAAAAAAAAAGAAAAAAGAAAAAAAAGAAAGAAAAGCACAGAGGACTCCCTGTCCCTGGAGATACGAGCGCCATCCAGTGCGTCCTGGGCAAGGGAAGCTCGAGAACTCAGAGAGGTGGATCTGAATCGGGCAATAAAGTGTCTTCTCCGACAGAAATGCTAGGATCAGTGTGTTTAAAGGTAGCCCGGGTTTTTCACGTTCTGCACCCCGCGGGCCCCCTGCGGCCTGCTCATCCGCAGGTCCCCCCAGTGCGCCCCCAGGAGGGCCACGCCTGGGCAGCGGGCGCCACGACGCGGTTTTCCAACCGGGGAGACGCGGGCACTCCCGTGCAAATGTCACTTTGCACGATGTGATGCACACACGTGTGTCTTTACCCCTCCCCCTCTCAGGCGAGCCCGACTTGCCCCGCAGAAACCGACCCCGTGTGTGTGTGTGTGTGTGTGTGTGTGTGTGTGTGTCCCGTCGTCGGTGCAGAGCTGGGCCCTGCATCCCCACCGGCCGGGGCCGCGTGCACCCCGCGCGCCCTGCACCCGGGCCTCCCGGGAGCGCTCGCTGCGCAGCCCGTTAGCGGGACGCGCGGCCACAGGGGTCCCCGGCCCCGGGCGGCCGAGCTCCCCGCGGGCCTCCCGGGCTCCGGGGCCGCGCGCCCTGCAACCCGGGGCTCCGGGGGCGCTCGCTGTGCAGCCCCACCCCCACCCGCCCCGGCGGCCGAGCTCCCCGGGGGCCTCCCGGGCTCCGGGGCCGCGTGCACCCCGCGCGCCCCGCAACCCGGGGCTCCCGGGAGCGCTCGCTGCGCAGCCCCCACCCCACCCCACCCCACCCCACCCCCGCCTGGCGGCCGCGCTCCCCGGGGGCCTCCCGCGCGCCCTGCACCCGGGGCTCCCGGGAGCGCTCGCTGCGCAGCCCCCACCCCACCCCACCCAACCCCACCCCCGCCTGGCGGCCGCGCTCCCCGGGGGCCTCCCGCGCGCCCTGCACCCGGGGCTCCCGGGAGCGCTCGCTGCGCAGCCCCCACCCCACCCCACCCAACCCCACCCCCGCCTGGCGGCCGCGCTCCCCGGGGGCCTCCCGCGCGCCCTGCACCCGGGGCTCCCGGGAGCGCGGGCTGCGCAGCCCGTTAGCGGGACGCGGGGCCACAGGGCCCCCCCGTCCCGGCGGCCGAGCTCCCCGCGGGCCTCCCGGGCCCCGGGGCCGCGTGCACCCGAGGCGCGGGGCGCGGGCGAGGACAAAGGGTCGGCCGCCGGGCCCCGCCGCGCCTGCCCCGCGGGCCGCCTCCGGGGGCGGGGGGGGGCGGGGAGGGGCCGCGGGCGCCGGGGCGGAGGCGCGGGCCGCGGGGAGCGCGAGGAGCGCTTCCGAGGGAAAGTGAGAGGGGAGGGCGGCCGGGCTCGGCACGCTCCCTCCCTCGGCCGCTTTCTCTCACATAAGCGCAGGCAGAGGGCGCGTCAGCCATGCCCTGCCCCTGCGCCCGCCGCCGCCGCCGCTCGGGCCGCGCTCCGCAGCCGGCCGCCGCTCGCCGCGCCGGGCAGGGGAGGGGAGGGCGGAGGGGGCCGCGGGCCCGGGGCCGTCGGAGGGGCCGAGCAGCGCCCGGGGGCTCGGCCGTGCCCCCCTCCCGCCGGGGAGCGGCGCCCGAAAGGCGAGCGGAGGAGCCGTCCCCCGCGCCCGCGCCCGCGCCCGCGCCTCACCTCGCCGGCCCCGCATGCGGACCGCCCGGGCGCCCGGCTCCCCGTGACGCTCTCACCTGCCCCGCGCGCGCCCCGCGCCCCGCGCCCCCGCGCCCCCGCGCCCCCGCGCCCCGGCCCGGCCGGCGTCGAGCCGCGCGGGGAGCGTGGGCCGCCGCCCTCGGGGTCGCCCGCGGCTCTCGGCGCCGGGAGCGCAGCGCCCCCCGCCCCCCGCCCCCGCCGCGCCGGGCCGCGCGCCCCGCTCCTTCCACCATGCACTTGCTGGGCTTCTGGTCTCTGGCGTGTTCCCTGCTCGCCGCTGCGCTGCTGCCGGGGCCCCGCGACGCGCCGCCGCCGCCGCCGCCGCCGCCGCCTTCGAATCGGGACTCGGCTTCTCCGACGCGGAGCCGGACGCGGGCGAGGCCCAGGTAGGTGCGCGGCCGGGCTGGGGGCCGGGCTGGGCGCGGCGGGCTCCTCGGGCTCCTGGGGGCTCCTGCAGCCTCCTGGGGGGGGGGCTCCTGGGCTTCTGCGGGCTCCTGGGGGTGCTTGGAGGGGCTCCTGCGGGCTCCAGCGGGGCCGGACTGGGGGCTCCTGCGAGGCTCCTGGGGGGCTCCTGCGGGACTCCTCGGGGGGCTCCTGCGGGCTCCAGCGGGGCCGGACTGGGGGGCTCCTAGGGGCTCCTTGAGGGCTCCTCGAGCTTCTGGGGGGCTCCTGCGGGGCCAGACTGGGGGGCGCCTGCAGGGGTCCTGGGGGCTCCTGCGGGGCCGGGCTGGGCGCGCTGGGGGCTCCTGGGGGCCCAGGGGCCCCGCCGAGTGTGCTGTGGCTGTTTCACCTTCTGGACGTTGCATCCAGAGTTGACCGAGTAGACTGCGCGCTCTCTGGGAGAAAAGTTTTCTTTCTTTTTTTCTTTCTTTTTCTTTTTCTTTTTCTTTTTTCTTTCTTCTTCTTTTTTTTTTTTTCTTGCATAAAGTTGTTACCAAGTAGCAAAGCAAGTTAGGAGGGGAAGCAGGCTGGAAGGCGCCGCAGGGGGGCTGGAGGTAGAGGTCGCTGAACCTGCTGAGAGCAGCCCCCGGTGCGCCCAGCGGGCTTGCACCCTGGCGGGGAGCGCGGCAGCGGGGCGGTGCCAGCAGGCTAGGGGGGCCGGGACGGCCCGTCCGCCCAGGTTCCTTGTTGCGGAGCGTTCCTCTAACTCGGAACCCTAGGCGATTTTAGGGAAAGTGGAAGAGGAATTTAGTCACCGGCTTGAGGGCTTAAGACCTGAGATTCACTTGGAGAAGTTGGCCACACTTGAGCTGCAACAGGATCTCATGGAGATCACTATCAGGCATGACTTTTCAGCTGCATCCACTTTGCCTTTCTGAAATCTGGTAAAATACCGAGAAGTAAGGTGGATTGTTTTATTAAATAACAAATGTTTTAACCCTTGGCGGGAAATGTTGCCAAGACACTTCTGAGATATTCTGGTTTTCAGGAGGAGTAACTGTACTTGGACTGCTTCTGACTTGCTCTTCCAAAATGCGTCTCTAAAACATTCAGAGCTGACCTGAGAATGGATATAGGATGCTTAATAGAGTTTGGGAACTCCTGAAGAAGTTTTATATTCAGCTGACAATGGGATGCCTCCTTTCAAAGACTTGCAGGACCCCTGCCTGGGTACAGAATGCAATAGTGCTTTATTTCAGCGGGTGGCAAAGTGGAGAAGTGCCAGTGGTGGGTAACTGTCAAGTGTGAGTTCACTTGATTAACATATGTTGAATGTATAGACATTGAATTGCCTTCACAGTTATATTTTGAAATACTTTTTACAATTGAGAAGACTAAGGTTTTTTTTAATTACCTTTAAATTTTGAAGTTTGGGGAAAATTATTTTTAAAAAAGCCTTCCCCACCCCTGAATTTGTAATTCAGTATTTTCAACATAGGGGTCAAGGGAAAAAAAAAAAAAAAAAACCTTGTGAGAAAAAAAAAAAGCGTTAAATTGCAGAACACAGTGTATTATGTGATTTGCAAAGTACTTTTCAACACACATACTTACGTTAGTAGAACTATTATCACGAGAATGTGGCTTAAATGCCACAAATATGTAGCATTAGACCCACTAACACTTCCTGTAATTTGAATTTCATGATATCTATTCACTTTCTGTTTCTGCGAAGTCAAATTATTAAAAGTATGACTTAGTAAGGCAACACCCAGAGAGGTGGCTGATGAAAGACATCACGTAACCTGTTTGAGAGCAGGTTATTGCCCATGATAACTTACTTGAGTTTACAGTAGGAAGTGTGAAGAAGGAAGTAAAATGAGAAGTCTTTCCTGATAAGCCAAAAGTCTGTATGAGAGTCACTCACTGCTGGGTCAGTTTTGAATGAATATGCCGAGGTGTGCGCATGTGTGTGTGTGTGTTATGCATGAGTTTGCAGTTGGAGGTTAAAGTTAGATTATTTTTAATCTTCAAAATCGCCTTTGTTGGCGATGTAATCAAATCTTCCCTTTGCTGTGAAATTCTTTACATATTTTTATTTGCTTTTCATATCTAGCCATCTTTTATATCCTATATGGTGAATATGAGTTGATGTCCTCTACATGATAGGGACTCTTTTTCACTGAATGAAGCATCATTTTAGGTGTCTGAGTTCCACCGCCCACAAGACAGTATATTATTTCTGTGCTAAAGAGTTCCTGATTGGTTGAGCTCGACAGGACAAGTGTCATTAATGCCTTTAGTGAAATTGCTATGTCCTTGCCATGGGATCCCCAAGAGACATGGTCCAAAGACTCCATGTCTCTCCCTAGTGGCCTCAAGTGGCTCAAGTTGCGGAGGTAAAGCTTAGAGGGGAAGTAATTAATTTCCTGTGAACTACAAAACCCCAAAAAGAGATTTCAGAAGCTAAATAAAACACACTAGATCTACAGAATATTTGACAGATGCAAAGTTTTGGTAATTTACACTTAGGAAGTATTTCTATAATGTTTAAAATACATGAAACCGTCACAAACTATAAACCATGCTTAGCCATCCAATCCTTCACCCCACCCCAAAGCCATACTAAAGATAGGAGGTAAAATCACAAGCACAAACAAGAATTCTTTGTTCCTTGACTGATATTTGCATTTATTAGGTTCCTCTTTCTAATTATTCGTGGTTATGTGACTTACTAAAATATTGCAAAATGTCTCCCTGAAGGATATTAGTACAAGCAAACCAACATTAGAAAAGTAAGGCAAGGGATCCCTGGGTGGCGCAGCGGTTTGGCGCCTGCCTTTGGCCCAGGGCGCG